ATGGTATCACCCTTACATTATTTGTGATTGATTCATTTTAAAAGGCGTGTGTTTTGAACTGCATTATAGCCAATTTCATGTAATAAGCCTAAGTCATAAAGGAATTCCACTCCAGTGGAAAATGAAGTATGCTTACTAGAAGGTGAAACTCATGCACTTAGTCATGGAAGAAAAGTGATTTGATTAAAGAAGAAACTGGTTATACGAAGTCTTTTTTTAGCACAACCATTCAAAACAAACTTCCCTAAAGCACCAATACATTTTAAAACCATAGAAGGCTCAGAGCACTTGACAAAAATACACTGTGCAGCAAACCGAAATAATCTCTTTTCAGTAGACAAGACTGTATTACCTATCATTATTTCTGATGGTTTGGAGGAGATTCAGCAATATCTTAAGAGTCAAGTACCTCTCTCCTACTTCTTTCAGTGCCATTTATCACAAAGCAGGCGCTTGCTTCAAGATTATGGAAGGTTTTTCAAAATGATATGTTGTTTACTTGCCTTCCTGATCACCACCTTAGGGCTGTCTCCCATGAATTTCCTGATGTTCTGAAGTTATGGGGTGTTTTTTGTGGACCCTACTCATATTCTTACAGAGAGATGTTTATCTTCAAGAAGCAGGAAAGCTGTCAAGAGAAAGTGTCTCCATTATTGACTGAGACTACAATCTGGAAAAAAAAAAAAAGAAAAGGAAAATAAATGGGAGCAGCAAAAGACTAGCAGAAGCAGGGGGAAAACCGAAGAGTGAGACTGTCCCCAGGACATCAGAAAGATGAAATGGTCATAAGAGCAGCAATCCTTTGAACAAACACTAGGGATCTGGAGCAAAGCCAATTAGAGTGAAAATAATTTTTTATAAGTAAATGGGAGGGAGAGGAATAGAATTGAAAAGAGCATGCAAATGAAAGGGAAAGAATATCCAGGTGAAAACTCAGCTTGAATGAAATGCAGCAAACTGCTGAGGAGGGCCACGGCTCACCCTTCCCAGGGTTTGATCAACTTGTTCTGAGTTGTGTCCTTGCTGTAAGTGGTGACACTCCACAGAGCAAGAGAGCAGCTGAGCGGTCCCTGAGCTCCCCCTACCACCTCTTCCATGCTCTGTAACAGTCATCCCGGGGGAAGTCGGATCTCCATCTAATCCCTGTGCTATTTCTTGCCTTATGTAACCATCTCTGAAAATCTATATTTTTTCCATTAAATAAAATTGAGACCTGTAACTGTCTCTGTGGACATCTTCCTGAAAACCATGTCACTGACCCAATGAGATAACTACTCAGGAGGCAATCGTGTCTGGACACACAGAAGAATGTATGTGAATCATGCCTATGGCTTTGATTTTCCCTAAAGCAAAGTGGGCACAGTTTGGAAACATCTATTAATTAGCATCTATTATTTAAATGTCTGTTAATTAAACAAATTTGTAAGCATCTACTATGGCACAGCCTATGCCAGGCTTGCAAGGGATGCAAACATACATGGCTGTTTTCAAGTAATTTACCACTTAATGTGAAGATCAAATAAATAGAAAGGAGAGAAGAGTAAGTACTTCCAAAGAGGAAAGGATGAAATGTCTCAGAAGTTTGGAAAGGGGCCAGACTAATTTCTACAAAGGGTCTTAGAAAAACTTCTTGAACTGGGTATCATTTGAGTTGGGGTGTGGTTTTACCAGGACAGATGGAAATACAGTGTTTGAAAGGAAAGGCATTTCAAGCAGAGAAAAACTTGAGTAAAGGCACAGAGCTGAGAAACTAAGATGTGTGCAGAAAGAACCTTCCCTTCTGCGAGAGCACAGGGCAGGTGACGGCACATGGCTGACTTCCTGTCTTCAACAAGGCTGTACAGAGAGCGGCCAACAGCAAAGTGTCTGCAGCCAGACTGGATTCGAATCTGTTCTCCGCCACGTCCATGTGTGACATGGGGCAAGCGAATGAATTTCCTTGCCTCCATCTCCTCTCTGTAAAGTGGGGACTGAGTGGGCATGTATTTCACAGAGTTGACATGAGAAACAAAGACTTCAGGAGAGTCCATGGTGCAGGAGCAGCATTCAGAGAATTATTAGTCATTATCTCTCTTTTCTAGAGATAATGCCTATGTGGAAGGCCATAGGAAAACTTTCTCATCTTTTCTCCTAGCTACATCAAATGAGTTTAACATATACAGAAAGCCTGGGCCATTGCGGGTGGAGAAGCAGCAGTCAAAGAAAGGCTTACCATTAAATATCCTGATACTCTTGCTTTCCTGCTCTTAACATCTACGTAAGGTAAAACTGCTTTTCTGATAATTCTGCTCAACTGTGAGCTTACAAGCTCACTGTACTTGCTTGGCCCAAAAGTACAACAAGGCAAGTCAAAGGATGGCTGGTTTCACAGGAAATGTTTAAAGTTTGGCATTCTTTTCCTACGGTTATTTATATGCTTTTCTCCTTAGCCAGAGGCATTTGCATCTTTGAAAGTTCCTAGTGAGCTCTGACGCAAATATCTACCTACAGGGGAGAATCCCTGGCTGGCTCTGAAAATTAAACTAACAAAGATTAATAGGAGAAAAGAAAATAAATGTACTTAATATGTTTTACATGGAAGTATAATATGGTTTACATCCAAAAGGAAATGCTAACCTGAAGCAACAGTTAAACCTGAGTATTGTCATGCTAAATTTGATGAAGAGTGGATATCATATAGAAATAACAGGCCAGAGTAAGAAGTAAGTGTAATGTGGGGAGACTTAGCGAGGCCTGTTTGCTCAGGTTCTGCTCAGGGTCTTGGAGGTGAGGGTGCTCCTTTCCTCTGGGTATAGAGAGGGCACCTCTCAAAACTGTTTCAGGCGAGAAGGTTAGAGGGAAGGTCAAAGTGACCTTCCTGCTTCTGCCATTTTCTCAAACTCCTTCAGCTTGAAATATTCAATCTGTTAAAATACCATATTTTGGGGTAGCAGGTCCTAAACCCCATCACATCCCACGTCTCAGCACACGTCTACCATGTAACACTATTCCCACAAAGAAACTCAAGTAAGCACTGGTTTCTATCTGCTTCCATACATAAAATAAAAAGAAGGGGTTTTGGGTGAATTTGTTTTCTCTCTCAGCACAGTCTCAATTGTTAGCTGAGTAAAAGAACACTAGGCTATAGTTTAAACAGCAGAGTAGAGTCTCAATTTAAAAATAGATAAATTTGAATCCTAGAATCACTTTCAGTATAATCCTTTCTGGACTATGACAGGGGCTAGATGACTAATAATAATCTATGGCAATATCCTAAGAGTCACTGAAATATGCGCTTATCAAGACACTAAACTGCTGGCTCACAAGGTCCTTCTCCTTTGCCCTAGGATTGCCTGGCTTTCTCCTTCCCCACAGTGAATGACCAGCTGGCTATGAACTGCAGCCTTCGTACAGAAAGGGGTTTACAGAATGTGAGTGCCCATCAGAGAAGGGAGAGGAAGAATGAACCACTCTTTGAGGGAGAATCACTATCTCTAATTAAGGGATGAAGACTTCCAAAGGTAAAGGTTTATTTTAAAGGCAAATTGAAGAACTCTCTTTTATTCATAGATTTTCCATAGCCACCTCTCCCCTTTCTCTCCCCCTCTCTCTCTCCAGATCCTAAGATATGAGAATTACTTCTCTATTTGGTTCCATTTCCCATTTATTTACAAATCCCAAGACAGATAAAGACACTAGTTTTTCATTTTTCTCACTTCCTAGGGAAAAGTGAAAGGCACATGATAAGGGGGAAACATGGTTAGTATTTTTCAATATAGGAGTCTACATACCCTTACCAATTATAATCGCATGCCTACCTGGAAATTCTTTTAGAACACACAAAAGTGCCTAGGAGCCTAGAAATACTTTATTGTTTTTCCTCCTTTACAGCTTATTTTCTCTCAAGTGAAAGCTTAGTTTATTGAATTATGGAAAGGGGAATTTGGTCAGTTCTGGGCTCGAAAATGTCCTCTGAATAAAGTCCTCATAATAATTAAATTGAATTCCAAGTACTTCTTGCCCATACATAACTCACGTTTTTTTCTGATTGATTTACAAGTGAAGGCTGAGAGGATATTGCTAGTGTTTGCTAAATAATAATGTACTTGCTTGTATTTATATATAAGCACTCTAAGTCTTACAGAGAAACTTTTACCCTTAACTCTCACAATAGCTCTGTGATACATGGTAACATTCACATCTCTGAAATAATGGAAAGCCAGCTCTGAAAACCCCTGATTATAAAAACAACACCCTAAATCTATCAATAGTGACTAATCTGGTTTCTTTCCAGTGTGCTACTTCAACTTTGAAGTTCTATTCTCTTTATATTATTGGAATTGTTTCTATTCTTAAAGGTTCATTTCTGCCACTAATTGTAACTTTGAACAAGTTGTGTAAGTTTCTCCGTATCTGAGGTTTTCTCATCTGTAAATTAGATGAGGATTTTCAGTAAAATCTACAAGTTTGACACACCTTGAAAATAACAGACATGAAAGGTATAAACCCATAAAAACAGAGAATGGGAGAGGAAATGACAGTAGATAAGACATGTCAACAATAATGCAGAGGATGAAAAGCAGATAGATGAGTGGTAACGGACTGCCAAGAGGCAAAACTCCAACTGAATTGGCTGCATAGGAGAAAGTCAGTGAACTCAATAATGGCCCTAAAACATCCATGCTCTGATCCCCAGAGCTGTAGGAAATTACCTTGCATGTCAGAGAGGGCTCTGTGGGTGTGATTAAATTAAGGAACATGAGGTGCAGATAATATCTGGATTATCCACGTGGGCCCAATATAATCATAAGGGTCCTTAAAAAAGAGGGAAGCAGGAGAGGCAGAGGCAGAGAACGTGATACAACCATGGAAGCGAGGTTGGAGTGATGCAGGCCATCACCAAGGGAGGCAAGCAGCCCCTAAAACCTGTAAAAAACACAAAGAAACACACTCTTCCCTGGAACACCAGAAGGAACACAGCCCAGTCATCAATGGTTTTACCCTAGTTAAGACTCATTTTGACACTTACCTGGCAGAGGAAATACCATGATCACAAAGGTGGTTTTCCCAGAGTGAGGCTTATCCATTGCACTCCGGATGTGCTGACCCCTGTGATTTCCCCAAATTTAGGAAACTCAACTGCATCATTTCTGGTAGTGGGGGACTGCGTTTGCTCTTTAAAAATAAAAATAAATTAAAATAAATAAAAAAGACTCATTTTGAGCTCCTAACCTCCAGGACAGTAAGATGTGGATTTGTGTCATTTGAAACCAATTCATTTGCAGTAATTTGTTATAGCAGCAACAGGAAACTAATACATCAATTCATACCACAGAACTAGGGCAGCCTCAGGAACTGGAAGCAGGAGAAAACTCTAAAGGTGGGGGGAGGGTGACAGAAAATGCCATCAATTAAAAGTCTATGTAAGGAAGACTTAGACCCCCAGCTCTCTTCTTTCACCCTGTGTAGCCAGGTGACAATTCCTTCCCCGTCCAACAGGAAGATAATTTTTCAGAAGGCTCCCAATTTGGGAAAAACAGACGTGGTGGAGGGAAGAGGTGAGGCACTAGGCTCAAAACCATTGCATTCTTAATGGCAGGGGACACCAAGCCCTTCCCCAGACTCACAATCCCTCAACCTAAGAGACCAGAGGGTTTCTCTCTGAGGAAACACCTACACATCCCAGTACAGAACCAGTTAGCAAATCATCTGGTTCCTGCCCTTCACCCATGCAGAGAAGCCCAGCAGCTGAGAGGCCCCAGCTATGCACAGAGTTCCCACATAGTGTTTCAACACTTCAGTCCTACAAATGCGCAGGCAGCAGACAGCCTGGGTTCATACCCTGACTCCAACATTTTATAAGTGTAACATTTACTAAGTGACTATGGTCAGGTTAATTAACCTTTCTTCAGATCAATGGTCATATCTATCTTACCCTAGTTAAGGGTGGTCAGAAGCTCAAAATGAGTCTTAACTAGGGTAAGAAAATAGAATGATTTCTAGATAGATAAAAAGATAGATGATAAAGAAAAAAATAGAATGATAAAGATTAAATGAGATTTTAGATACAAAGCATTCAGAATCATGCACAGAATAAGAAAAGATAAAGTCCAAAACAAACACATACACACCCACAAAGGGAATTCAGGTGGAATAAAGATGATGTAGAGATCCAAAGAAATCCCCCACAAAAAGGCTCTTTAATATCTTCAGATGAAATGAGAAGAGTATGCCATGGGGAAAAACATCAGAAGAGCTTTTGAAAATTAAAACTATAATATCAGAAATGAAAATTTCCATAGCATGTTTGCAGAATAAAGTTGACATAGTCTCTCAGAAAGTAGAATAAGATAAAAAGATGGACAATATAAGAAAAAAGGTAAAAAAAAGTATAAACATGGCCCCACCATTGATCCACCCTGATTCATGGATATTTTTGTACATATGAAGGTACATTTCCATCATACACACCAACAGATTCATTTTTCCACAACTGTTTTCTACTCAGAAACCATATCTCCCAAGTGGTAGTTGTATTTTGGGGGATAAAATTTTGAACTTTGACCCACAAGTACATAATCTGCAAATAAACTGCTTGTAACACCAGAAACCATATACATTGTTCCCATTCCTCTACTTGCTTCCCACTTCCTTTAAGTTTTATCAAGAAATATGTAGGACTAATTCCTTTATCTTATCCTTGAAATCTAATTTATTTGGGGCAGTTAGCCTCAAACCAACATTTCATTCTTGCTTAATTTCCATTGTAAATGTGAAAGAGAAAGTGAACAAGGAAATAAATAAATCATAAGTTCAATAAACTGCAGTTCTGTGTTCAAATTTTTCCATTCTTAAAAATCCTTCCTTTCTGTGTTCTGTAGTCTGTGTATTCACAGACCCCTTTTATCCTATCTGTACCTCAGTATAACCTCTTATAACCTGCTTTCTACTCCTTTTAGCTAATTTGTTTCTCACTGGCTACAGTAGCTCATTCTCCTGCAAAGAGTAGGATGGGGAAAAACATTAAAAGAAAAAGAAAATTTTTACATTGTTGAGATTCAGAGAATTCCATTATTCTACCTAGGGCATATTGCCATCAGCTTCTGTAAGGTTGAATCTGGAATGGCTGGCTTCTGTCATGACTTTCTTATGTAGGGATTGAGTCCTTTCAATGACCCTGCATAGATTTATATAAACTTAACATTGGTTACATTTAAATAAATCAACAAGTGTTGATTTATTTACCAGATGATTTAATGATTACATTTACCAGATGAAAATTGGTAAAAAAAATTAGTATCAAGAGCTGCTTTAAATGTTTTTTTTAATTAAAAAAGTTTTTTAAAAACTCAGTAAAGATAATGAGTAAGGCTCCCAACCCCACAGTGTTTTTCCTACTTTAAGGATATAAGCCTCAGGTCATCTGTAGCACCAGCTAGCATTACTGCCTTTTTTTTCCCCTTTACCTGCTGTATTTTTCAATTATTGTGTAATTCAAGAACCACTTAGCAGAAATGGATAAAATGTCGAGGAAGAAAACACCAAACTTTAAGCAATGAGATTTTAGAATTGTGGATGGATTTATATCAGCTTTTTCTCCCGCATTCGTTATTACTATGATTAATCAAGGGTTAGCGCTGTCAACACATGTAATAGAGTTCCTGCTGCACATAATTTATCATTTAAATAAACTAGACCCCTCTATCTTCAAGAAAAAATCCCAGAGCAGCTGATACAAGCAACTAAAATCTACCAGCAAAACTCATTCTGTATCTGAGAAATGGACAAACCAAATATGCCAAATGAAGGTATACCAAACTTACACAAAGACCACATACATGGAAAAGTTGTTGATGTATGATACCCCTCAACCCCTACAGACTCAATACACATCCTACCCCAACCCTGGAAACCAAACCACAACCAAGCTGGCCTTGGTCACTGGCACCATCTAGCGGTTGCCACAAAAGACTGGCCCAAATCACCTCACTGCTTCTTCCTCTGGAAATTGTATGGTGATAACAATGATTCCACTCTTTTTTTACATGCAACTGTTTCTACTACCTCAATTTCTGTCTTTGTAAGAAAATTTTTATGATTTTCAAAATAAGTCTTTTTGGATTCTGTTTTGCTTTATACCAAAGTAAAGCAATAAGTATAGAAAATTAAGGCTCTATTACAGATACACAAATTAAAATGAAACTAAGCACAGACCATAAAAAATAACCACTAGTGGGCTTCCCCATTAAGATAGAAGATTTAATACATACATAAAATTTTACTTCCTCATCCAACCCTATTAAACTATAATAAAAGGATTTTTTTTTAAGACATAAATCCACCAGGATGGAAATATTAGAGAAAACAGTGACACAATTTTAGAAGAAAGAAAATAGATCAGGAGAGGAAGTTGACTGACAGACCCAAGGTAGGGGAATCTGAAGTCAACAGCGGGAAAGCAAATACACAGTATAATTTATACTGTAAATTCCAGCTACTTCTGGAACTGTGAGTAAGCCATGGAGGCAGAGAAGCTAAAATAAATAAAAATGTATTATATTGTTCAAGTGGCAGTTAGACATTTTTCCCCCAGCATGCTGACAGATGGCTGTTTTTCCCAACACCAGGAGAATCCTGGAGTTTCATCCTCAGGAGAGTAAAACAGGATTTCTGAACCTGGACTGATGAGGGCCCAATTGAGGAATTGGGAGCCATACATACAAGATAATTAAAATACCAGATGCATATTATATGTTTTATTCTAATTGCTGAGACCTTTGGCCCCCAGGCCCTACTCTCCCACGATTCTGGAAGCACCTGTGCTCCCCAAGCAGGAGCCAAGCAGGGAAAACTCTGGGTCACCTCAGAGAACAGCTAACAAGAATATAAGCAGAAAATCAGCCCAGCAAAACTCAAATCATTTGATTTTGATAAGAGCTTTACACTCACTCTTGATTTCAGGCAGAAAAACAGCAGATCAATGAACATTTGAACAAATCAGTTGAGGAAGATAAAAACAGAAACAGAGAAAAATATAATAGAGAAAATAGAGATTATTCAGGGTAAAAAAAAATCTTAAAAACATAATCCCGGTTAATATCCTCAGATCAATGTGGAGACACTACATTCATGAAGTATTATTACTATTTTAAAAAGCTCCTGGAAATTAAAAACAAGATGACAGAAAATATTTAAAAATCAATAGAATGGTTGCAAGATACATTTCAGAAAATCATGATGGAAGTAGAAGAAAGAAGAAGAAAAATATAAGGAGATGAAAAATAGATACAAAAATTAAAGAATACAGAAGAATGAATAATATCCAAATATTGGGATGATCTGAAAAAGAATGTCAGAGAAAAAAAAAAAACAGAGAGGAGAATATCCTAAATGAAATCCTTTAAAAAAATTCCCCAGGTCTTATAGACCTCAGTTTCTAGGCTAAAAGGAGTCATCAAATGCTCAACAAATACATGAAAATAGACTTACAGTAAGGCACACCATTGTGAAATTTTACAACATTGAAAACACAAAGAAGATCCTAAAAGCTTCCTGGAATTAAAAAACAGGTCACATAGAAAAAAAGAAGTATCAGAATATATTCTGACTCATCAGAAACACTGGTAGGTGGAAAATAATGCAACAATATCTTCAAAATTCTGAAGGAAAAGATGTCCAACATAGATTTCCATACATGTCAGGTGTAAACTAAAGGAATACTGAGATACTAGATCTCAAATTTGTCCAATGTATCTACCATATAGCTCTTTTCTGGAAGTCACTGGCAGGTGTGTTCCACCAAACTAAGGAAGTAAACAAAGAGGAATATATACAATATCAGAAATAATGTACCCAACCCCCAAGAGAACAGTGAAAAGAATCTCCAGGGTGATGAGAGGGAGGAATCCCCAGATAGCTCTTGCACTTCAAGGATTGAGGGAAACCAGCTTAGGTCAAAACACCTTAGAAAGTGTGTAGCCAGGACAGAACAGGGTCCCTTATAAGCAGGCATCTGTCCCTCTAGAGTGAACAAGGAGACATAGATAAGGTCGACAAAACCACCATCTTATCGGCGTTATCTACAATAATGACAGCTTATGGCCATAACTGAAAGACAAGACTATAAAGAAATATGTGTCTAACAAGGATTATAATAAAGTCTGACATACTTTTTCACTA